AGGGGCTACAAACATTATTTGAAGAAACCCTCACACTTTCTTCGGTTATGCTATCTTTTGGAGAGAAATATGACACATTATCGAGATCCGGATGCTAAAAAATTGTGTCCTGTGATCAGCCTTATTTTGGTGAGCTATGTCGGCCCATTCAACACAGATTGAGGCAACACAAAAATGCTTGTAAAGAAAGCTGTGTCAGACGGTAGGAAATGGCCGAACACATGGCAGACTGCTGACATGAGATAGAATGGTCTCAAATGAGTTGGTTTGCTGATTATGGTACGTCGGCTGTTAAAAGTGATAAAAGAGAGGCTATTGAAATGAATAGATAAGGGAACAGGCTGAATGTGAGGAACGGTGGTAGAAAGTTGAGTAAGCGCTACTTATGCTTGATTAATAGTTTGAAAGAGAGGGAAGGTTTTGAGCCACCATCCAAAACAAGGTGACTCAACATGTCTGCTCAGCGATGTTTCAAACTTCACTCACAATCGACCAACATGTTAGATTAAGTAGGTATGTAGAAAAACTTGGTTCCGAAGAATCCCTGACTAGATTCATGTTGGAATACCTTTAATTTCGTTTGAAGAGCCGAGTAGACGGCATTCATAAGTTTGTTCTTCCGGAGGCTGGAGGGGAAGTTACCTTGGAGATGTGAGTGTAGATTTGTGCGAATAGGTCCTCGGCGCACCGCTCTGCGACCCCGTTGAATCTTTGCTGTGCTTTCGTCTGTCATGTGACGGACATCATCAAAGCAGGACAACATGGCTAACGATAATGCACCAAAAAGGCTGGCAAGAAAGGTGTCTAGCTTCAAACCTACTTCTTTATATTTCAAATTTAGTCCACTTATACCTCATGCTTTGGTTGGATGTTTTGTGCTTTGTCTCTATATTTGCCCATAAGTTAAGTTAAGGTCAAACAACTTATGTACAACGAAAGTGGAGTACGACCACACAAAAGGCCTCATCATCTTGGTCTTCATACCATCGATGGCAAAGAAAGTTTGGAGAATTTCCTTGGTTTTATGAGCAGTATCGATGGTAAGATTAAATTCGCTATCGAGTTAGGAAATGAAGATGGTTTGCCTTTCCTTGATGTCCTAGTTAGCAAAGAGGAGGTCAGATTGGATAGAGATGTGTATAGGAAACCCACAAATGCAAGTTACCTTTGAATTTATTCTTCAACCCCAATTATGGAGTTAAAGTTGGAATTATGAAGTCTATGATAATAAGGAGCCTGCATCCGGCCGATGTCAAA